CCGTCCATTTCTGTTGGGTCATGCTTTTAGACCAAAAGATGGGACTAGGAGAAGCATACATGGCTGGTGACTGGTCAGCGCACCCTGATCCAAAAGAGCTTTTAAAGCTTCTCATCCGAGCAAAAAGTATGCATCCTCAAAGCTCCAATTAAGAATTTATTGTAACCATAACTTTTCTTCAACAAATTCTCTAATAAAGAGTTTTCAGAGCAACACAAACGAAGTAGGTCAAGGAAACCATCACTTTTGACGATTTGCCTCAGCTTGCTTGGCGAAACAGCTTTGAACCTCATTCGAAAGGCGGTAAACACCTATCGTTACCTTCAGCATCGAATAAGAGACAACACTCTTAGCCAAAGTGCTAAAAACATTGAAGGTAAACTAATTAGTGGAATGATAGATGCATTGGACTAGACATAAATTAGGCTTCTGTTGTAAAATATCTAAATTTAGACCACTACGACCTTGGTAACGACATGTTCCGTATGTTTCTTGATCCATCCATGACATATTCTTGCGCACTTTTCCAAGGTACAAGTTTGCTAATGGAAGGTTTGGGCGGATACCACTTGACTTATTTCGCAGAACCACTGCAACCAGTCGAGCAAGTTGACTTCAAGGTATTAGAAGAAGCGCAGCATCGCAAAATGGACACACTCATTGACATGTTGAATCCTAGCTCTTCTGATAAAGTGCTAGAGATTGGTTGTGGTTGGGGAGCTTTTGCAATCAAGACAGTCAAGGTGAGACTCTCAACACAACCCCAGAAATAATCTCATAAAAGGGTTTTCTAAGAGAAGCAAGTGCGAGTGGACTGGATTGACAATTTCGCACGAACAACTCGACTGGGCGAGGCAAAAAGTTGAAGAAGCCGGATTGGAAGATAAGATCTGCTTGAGATACCAGGACTACAGGTAAGAGATATTGGTGGTATATAAGTAAATAAATTGTTGGCCGCATTGTGCAGGTTATCGACAGGACAATACGACAAAGTAATCTCGATAGAAATGATTGAAGCAGTAGGACAAGCATTTCTTCCTCAGTATTTTCAAGT